CATAATTATGACTATATTATGATACAATAAATTAGATAAATATGGGAAAGATATGATTTAAAAATGAGCCATATATGGCACATAAATGAATCATTCATGGCTCATTTTTTATCTCATTCTTCACGGCATGGGTACGTTTCGCATATTGGTTGAACATTTTGAACAGATCATTTTTGGCACATACCGCTATATTTGGATGTTTCAGCACAAGTCTGATTTACTAGTCAAATTGCTCTTTCACATGAACTGTTCATGTGAAAGAGCAATGTTCATGATGAACATATTGGTTTTCGTTAGTTTTACACTTCTTTGGGTTGAACTAATTATTGGAAGAGGATCCTCCAGCAAGAGACCGAGCTGATGCTGAGTCAATGCCCTAGCTGATTCCGAGGTCCGAATTAGGTCAAAAAGCTGTGAAAATTTTATCCATTTTTGTGTAATGGATACGTAATTCTTTTTGCATAATTTATGACATTTTGAGCAGAGGGGGAGATCGACTATCCTGTTGAAACTTTCTTTTAAAAACTGAAATGCGTTGAAGTTGGCCCACAGACTCCGTCCATCTGAGTGTGTATATAAAGTCGCTGCCAGTATCTGTTAAGTCTATCGAGAAAAGTTGATTCGTTCGTCATACTCAAAAACGTGTAAATTGGAAATAAAGACATCGTATTAAGTTTTCGTAAACGTCGATTGTGACAAGAAGTCACTGCTCTGTAGGCGACAAAATGAAAAAGATTGCAAAAAGCCCACAACAGTGAGGGAACAAACATTTTAACATCATGACTATGTTGTTTTGATGTACTAACGAAAATTTGCTTCAAAGTTGTCTGACTTTAAAAATTGATATAATATGATGAACAATGATATGTTAGCTTTAATTCACTTGTTGTTTCTTGCGAGCGATATTGTAAAAAACATTTCTCTTTAATATGTAGACAAATATGGAACCCACGCATATTCCGAATTTTTTTTTTCAACTTTAATTCTCATCGCTCTAGTCCAATGATCACTGAAATCGGATTATCCCACTGCATCTGTGCCCAAAGGTACTGAGACAAAGAGCATTAGTTAGCTTGTCCAAGAATATCATGCGACCACCGTTTTCGAGATTCAAACTTCGCGTTTTTGAAGTACGTTGTCTACCTACTAGCCGACTGAGCCACGCTGCTCGTGGCTACTAATAGTATAAACAGAATGTGTTAACTGATTAGAATCATATTGTTTATTCTATATAAAAATGATACCGTGTAGTACGACCACAACAATCATTCACCTAATACTAGTAAAAAGCTTTTATATGATAATCTTGATAAAATATATTGATTCATTTAGTGTAAAATTTCGAGAAAAGTGAAATAAAAAAGAAATTTGTGATGATATTGTACAAGCACTGTTATTAGAAAAAGGTAAGGCATCTGGTTCATTTTCTCCAAAATTGAAATTCTTAGAACATATGTTGTAATTCATATGTCATATAAATCATTTATAACGAGTTTTTAAAGTACAAACGGTAATAGGAGAACTGAATATTATAATCAAAGTACGGTAACGTGATACATGATGAAGTACAGAGGTAGCACGCTCTAGTCCGGATATCATCAGAAATTTCTTTTTTATTTCACTTTTTCTCGGAATTTTAAACTAAATGAATCAATATATTTTATCAAGATTATCATATAAAAGCTTTTTTTTGAGAATGCGCTATTTGAGAAATTTTTGAGTAATGGTCTATTATCACAAAATTCCCTATCCATTCTTCAATCATCATAAAAACTTGGTTCTTGACTAGATCGATAGAGAAATGAATGAAGAACATTTACTATGAGAAAATATGTAAACATTTTTGTTCTTTCCTTCCTTATCGGTAAAGGGCAAAGATTTTAAAATCAAATCAGACTTATTGTTGTTGTTTATTAGCTAGATTGCCGTTTCCGAAGCTGACCGGAAAAGAAATACGTTACAAAAAAAGAGCTGTAAAGTAGACTACTGAACAAGTAGTTAAGAATTGAATTGGAGGAATCGAATTTTTTTAAAAAGTCAGTGCTTCTGGATATCGAAAAAAGAGAAGCAGTTCAGGTAGAAATTCATCCTGAAACGACGTACATAGTGGTTAAAATGATGACGGTATAACTGCCAAAAATCAAAAAAGAGAGCAAAAACATGAATATACTTTACTGCCAAAAGGCTTATTAACTGCAGCTATTTCCGATTTCATCTTTTTATTTTAATTATAATTCTCTGTGGAATTTTCGACCAGTAACGGTCATTATTAAGATAAAAATCTAGAGAATTACAACAAAGAAGTAAAAAATAGACTTATTTTATTCTTCATTTTCATTTTCATGACTCATTACCTCTGTACTTGATGGAAATAATTATCCATTCAATTTGGTTTCCATTCCTCCACCCTTTAATGTACAATTAAGATCTTATGTGCATTAAAAACTTGACCTTATTATCCAAAGGGTTTCTATTTAGTAGATTATTTTGGTGTTATTAATCTCCCATCCTCGACCACGCTTGTTAAAGCCCTTCTTTCCAATTCATCTGGGAAAACATATGGAGGCACAGTGGATAATTTTGCCTGGGCAAGCGGACATTGGGGATTAAATGAATAGATGTCGATATGACTCGAGGATTACTGGTTTGATCTTGCTAACATCTGCAGCTCATAAGAGGTATCAAAATCTGTTTCTTTTGCAAAGAGCAAATGTACAATTATGTTTTTTATTTAGTCGAATATTTGGATTTCTCGAGCATGGTAATTTTAATGCACTTTTAGAGTACTGAGCATACATCATGCAGAAGTTGTTCAATGAGAAATGGTAGGAGTCAGGTTAGTTGACGAAAGTATTTGTCGATGACTGCATGAATGACAACGCTTTCTTATAGACATTATTACATATAGCCGTGATCAATTCTCTTGCCTACGTATGGGTTCGTTTATTACTTGTATACGGTGCAGATCCTTGTGCACAAGACGAAGATGGCTATACTCCAGCTCATTATGCAGTCGAATGTAATGACATTGCAATGTTAAAAGCATTAACTATGATACTTCATTGCCACACGAAGACACTTTCGGACAGTGAAATAGTCAACGTGCATCAACGTTGTCTAAATGCATTGGTTGTACGAGAGAAGAGTGGTGGTTTGATAGTAAGCATGTTAACATGTTTAAAACAGGCAATTAAATGTGTTGAGTATCTGCATCAATTGCATATGGAACAGATAGAAACACAAGTGAGTGAGCGTATATATTAAAGCATATTTCATCTATCAAAACATAGATGACTATAGTAGACATAGATTGCTAATGTATTTTCCTTGTACTCTTGCTTAAACACAGGATATTTATGGTGATACGCGTTTAACGTATGCCGCGGCTCTCAGTGATATACAATTAACCGAATATTTGATCTCAGAGTGTTTGGCTAATGTGAATGGTGGTAATGCAGTGTCCAATGTTTGTTGTCGTTGTGGTGAAACTAACTGTACATGACTCTTTCTTTTCATTTCGATGGTGCAATTACGACAAGGACGCAGATCGTATATTTATTGTAATGTATATTCCTTGTACTCTTGCTTAAACACAGGATATTTTTGGTGATATACAATTAACTGAATATTTGATCTCAGAGTGTTTGGCTAATGTGAATGGTGGTAATGCAGTGTCCAAGTCCACTCGACATTGCCATTTATAATGAGAATTTTGAATTGCATGATCTGTTAGTTAAACACGGTTGTACATCACGTTGTTACATTAGACGTGAACTTATTAAACGACCAGTGGATACTGACGATTCAAGTTATTATATTCAGCGATTGTCCCTTGACGAAAGAGATACATAAAGAAGGTTCTATAGAAATTTATAGACAAAAGAATAAACAGTTCTTTTGTGACAGTAAATATATTGATAAATTTTGTAGTAAACTGCAGATCTTCAGATTAACTCTTTAAGCCCCTAGGGCTTCAACGCTTGGTTTGGGGTTAACCATTTATGAAAATGAAACATATGAGATCTCGAAATGGCTTTCCCACGCTCGAAAACAATGAAAATTTGTAGAAAATTATTTTTTGGAAAATTCGCTTTAGAAATCAAAGGCCAAACGTATCTAAGTCTAGACCATTATTGAAGTTGAGACAGAAAATGAGCTGAGATGGTGAAGAAAATCAAGAACGATCAAGAAACGAAGCCCGATATCTTAGCAAAATATGACCTTTCATTTTGTACCATCAGCAGCCTACAGTTTCCAACAATAATGTATTTAGCTGACATAATTTGGCACATCTCCCTACATGTTTCTGAAAAGTCATTGAATAAAAAAAAAAGCTTTTCCTAAAGTATCTGAGAAAAGTAAATTAAAACAATTAATATGTTTTGAAATCTTCTTCATTTTAAAATTGAGTCAGCTAGCATACAACACAAAAAAAGTGTTTTGTACCATTCCATAGCCCATTTAACATTTCTCTACAACCGATATAAGATTAGTTTTTCCAAACAATGCTTTCTTAGTTTGTTATAATGATAATGCCAGTGTCTAATCAAATGGACATTGGGCTTTAAAGGGTTAATATTTGATGGATATACCCTCGCAGAAAAAAATAGTTGCACACAGTATTTTTAAGATATTTTCCTTACGAACATATACTTTTACAAAAATGATCGCATATTCTGATAGCGCTTGGAATTCTCTACAATTCTGTATATTTACATCTTGACTTGCACTCATTCGCTGAAAAGTAAATTGACTGCGATAAAGCCACCCTCATCACCCGATTCCCACGAACTGTATTTTGTTACTATCTTTCTCATTTGTTTTTTAAATTTACCATCTCTGTAAAAATTAGTTTTTATAAAAGTAAGGTGCGCGTAATTCGAAATTTGCACATGTTTTGTTTTCCTTTAAATGAGACATATTCTGAGGCGTCTTAATCTGCTGATCACGAACCTGACCTTTTTTTCAGTTTTGAAAGTCGTTTCATGGAGAAAATTGAATGATAATCAGAACTTCTCATTGTCGTCCAATTTTCTCTAAATCAAATTTTGTAGATTTCACATAATAACTAGTGCCTTCATTCTTACGCCATTCGAAAGGCCAAGTGAAGCGCAAAAAACTATTGATTTGATTTTTGCCCATGGCTCTTGAAGTCTCGGTTTTGTGCAAAACTAGTTTTGAGAAATTCTAAAAAATAATCAAAACCTTCCATAATGAGGCATAATTATAACCCGCACATTTCGGATTAAAATGAGACGTCTCCCTGCTCTACACGACCTTTCTTTACAAAATTACAGAATTTACAAGAAAAACCCTAAATGTTCATTGTCAGCTCAAAGCTGTAGAAATAAGAAGAAATTAATTTAGGACTTTTCTTGTAAATTCTATAACTTTGCAAAGAAAGGTCGTTGCCAGTGAGTGT